CAGATGGGGGATGGGGGAGGGACTCCCCAGCTAGACAGAGGGGTGCGGGTCTCACAGATGGGGGTTGGGGAGGGACTCCCCAGCTAGACAGAGGGTCTCACAGACACGGGTATGGGAACAGCAGCTCAGCTGCCCGAGGCCCCACCAGCACCTTTCATTTCCTTCTCTGGAAGCATCCATCAGTCTGGGAACAAAGAAAACCGCCTTTGTGGCGCACTAATTTCTCCTCGTTAGAGGCCCTTTTCTGATCTGGGAGCGGAGCACTCTCTGGTTCTGGCTTTCAAAGAGGAGATGGGGGAGGGGAGGGGAGGAGTTGGGGGGAGGGTAGGAGTTGGGGACAGGCTCATGGGACAGGCCCAGGAGACGCTGATGAGAAATGGGAAATGGGGGCTGGGGGAAGGAGGGGGTTCCAGGCCTCCGACTCCAGCACTGGCTGGCCTCTGCCTGACCCCCATCAAGGCTCCCCAGTGGGGGCTGCTCTGTCAGGGCAAGGACCCATGGCCGGGCTCCTCCTGGCCACTGCCCCGGAGCAGAGCCTAGTACAGCGTCTCGCGGGTGGCATTGCTGGAGAGGGTATGGTTGCTGGACATGCTGTTGGCCTTCCTCGAGAAGGCCAGTCTCTTCCTCCTGCGCGGGCACACGGGGCAGAGGCAGGCCAGCGTGGCCAGGAAGATGTGGCGGAAGTTGGCGGAGACGAGGTTGTAGAGGATGGGGTTGATGGTGGAGCTGACGTAGAAGAGCACGTTGGTAACCATGTAGAAGTAGTGGTAGAAGTCATAGAGAAACCTGGGGGGAGAGACGCACTCAGACCCCAGATGGAATCCTTGGGGGCAACCTTGGGGGGAGAGGCACTGAGACCCCAGACAGAACTCCTGGGGGCCCCAAGGCGGGGCCACAGAGTGACAGCCGGGGCCACAGTGGCCACAGGACGTGGTGGCTTAGACACTAATTAAAACATCACTTGGGAGTGGTGGTGTATGGGGACATTTCGTAACTAGCTCCAAGGTGTGGCCTCTCCTGAGCAGTGGAAGTTCTGGTTGTGCTCCCCCCCACCCTCCCCGTCCAGGGCTTCTTTAGGTGGAGCCTGGGCTCTGCTCCTCCACCCCTGCCTCTCCCCGAGCTGTCTGCATTGCCTTTCCAAGTCCTATGCATCCAAGGGTCCAGGGCGTGGCCGGTCTCCAGCCTGACCACACAGCCAGGGTGGGACCCCCTCCACGCCTCCCAGCAGCCACACACCTTGCCCTCAACGTGTCGCCTTCACCCGCAGAGATCTCACTCCCTCACCAGGCAGCTCAATTACCAGCAGGCAGCCCTGACTTTCAGAAGCCTTTCTGGGGGCCTAGCTCTGCTCCCCGTGCCTCCGCCAGCTCCTGGGTCCTAGGCATGCCCTCCCCAGTGGCTGTCACTGGGAGGAACCTTTTATCCTGGGACCTGGCGGCCCTGCTATGCAGAAAAGGAGGCCCAAAGCTGCCATCTCAGGATAGCCAGCTGGCAAGGCTGGCCTCTAACTGGCGCCTGGGGTCCTGGATTTTGAGAAGGCTCCTGCCATTTCCTGATGAGAGGGGCTCCCTGCACCTGAACTCTTGGTGCAAACAGTGGGGGTTTTGCTGAACACCTGGTTGCTCTTCTGAGACTCTGGACTTTTGTTGCATGCCAGGCAGTGGGTGGCCCTGTGATCGGCCCCCACATCGCCCTGTGCGGCTCCTCTGGGAGGGGCCCTGGAAGCTGCATCTGGTCTCCCACTGACCCCACTCCGTGTCTTCTCCCTTTGCTGACTCTGCTGTATTAGCAAAGCAAAGCCTTGTCAGTATTGCACCTCTTGCTGGGATAAGTCACAGCCCTGAGTGTAACTGCAGGCTGAGCCCTATGGGTCCAACCTGGGTGGCCTTGGGGCTCTGACAGCTGCCATATGGGGAGGTGACACCCCCACCATGTCCCTGGTGGAGTCAGGGATATCTCTCTTTAGGCCTTCAGGAAACTGCCTGGGCCAGCTCCTAGGATCAACTTTCCCTCTCTGCTCCAGACTGGCCTGCTCAGCCCCTGCCCTGAACCTGTCCCTCCATGGCCTCCTCCTAGCCCCAGTCACAGCACACCCCTGCCCAGGGGGTCACTGGAGGACTCACCACACCCCTGCCCTGAGTGAGTCCTCTTGGCAGTGCCTGCCACACCCACCATCTATTTTGGGGAGCACTTGCCCAGCACCCGACCTCCCAGTACTCACGGAGTCCACTGCTCGTCCGAAATGTAGCAGAACATGAGGCGCCGCATGTGGTAGGGCAGCCAGCAGACCACAAAGGCAATGACCACTGCACCTGAGACACAGAGATGTGGGATCAGTGGGGAGACATGGGATCAGAGTCAGAACTCAGACTCAGAGACAGGACACAGGCTCAGAGACAGGACTCAGGCTCAGAGACAG